AAAACGTCTGCTGATTCGATGAAGCTATGTTATGATAGAGATCTACTGAAGTCAGCTTTGTATCAGGAGACAAGGTGTGGTTGCATAATCCCAGGAAGACCAAAGGGAAGTCTCCTAAGTTGTCTTCTCCATGGGAAGGCCCATATGACATAGTAAATCGTCTCTCAGACGTGACTTTTCGAATAAAATGTGGTCAGCGAGGTAAGCCAATGATGGTGCATGCCAACAGGCTTTGTCATTATCCCTGTTCATGACATTTCAGTTCGAACGAAGTGAACAACAGAACAAATGACGCTGCTGAACATGTGTTACCTGAAAAAGCCACTGTTGAAGAAGAAACTCTACCCGGTTTTGAGAAGGGAAACGGCGAAGTCCTTAATGAAGTTACTACCACTAATGTGACTGTTACCGATAATCAGACATTTCCTGATGGAGCAGATGAACCCCACGTGAAGCAGTAGCCAACGAGACGGAGACCAGTACGGAAGAAGATACGTCCTGTAAAATTAAGAGACTTTGTTGAATTTTAATTTTGTGTTTGTAATTTCTGTACATTTAATTAAGTTATTGTTAATTATCTATTGGTTTAATGTAAGTATCTATTGTTTGGGACGAACAATACTAAGGAAGGGGCAGTGTTACGACAGCAGAGGTCACGTGACCCTGGTAACACGGGATAAGTGTCTAGAAGGTTCATGAAGAGGCGAGTGCATTCTAGTCGCCCTCTATTCTTGTATATAAGCGCGGCAAATAAAGCGAGATAATTAATTGGATAGCAGACAGAGAGATAGGGAGACAGATAATCGAGTCACGTAAGTAAAATACGTGAATCGTTGTGAATTATAGCGTGTGTTTACGTTAAAGTGACTGTGGAAATTAAGTGTATTGCAAAGTTGTATTGAGAAAGAATAAACTAGTTTTATTTAAGAAAGGACTTATATCGCTGAAGTTCTTCGGAAAAAAAATTTAGGGGAAATTAACAAACGAACAGAGACGTAACTGTATCATGAAAGACACCTCCAGCTATCCGAAACGTTTTAAATTAGTTTTTAAACTAGTTAAATTAGAACTACTTCAAAACTGTATGTAATCATTATTTCAAAAACTGTTAAAAGTAGGAAAAAATTCCGAAAATTTAACGAGTTTATTTCTTTCCTCTTTGAAAAATGCCCCCAGTGGCACAGCGGCAATTCTGCGGACTTATACCGTTAAAACAACAACAACAACAACCTTTTAAATATAATTTTTATACCACATTTTCATATTAGCAATTAAGAAAGTGGTTTTCTTAAATAAATACTCACCAAACATATTGTTTCAATCTATATAATAAATTATTTGACATTAATAAAATTTTATGATAATTAAAAACCTTTTTTTTAAGGGCCAAGGCCTAACAGACGTTTTGCAAAATTCGTAGAGCGTTAGTTTCCATCCTTTGTGTTGTAGCGCTAGTGTGTACTGTGGAAATTATAACCAATAATATTCTTTGGTTTGAGCTACTAACCAATGGAAAACGTTCGCGCTTCGACATGGTAAGCGTCGGTTCGAAAGATAACTCTTGAAGAAGCGCGTGAGCTGATATCGGAAGAGCATTAGGTAAAGATTACTACTATTTTGAATTTAAAATTAAGTAAATGAAAAAGCTTGTTTAAAACAAATGGTTAATAAATTCGTTTTAGATAGTTTGCATTAAATGAATAATTTAAATTTCTGCATCATGTAAAGACTTCCTAATAATTGTTAAGATTAAAGTAGGCAGAAAACCAGTAAGTTAGGCTTAGCTCTGAGTTTAACGTCGACTTGGCGAAAACTAAACAAACTTTTACAAAGCCGATGAACTTGCGACCGCGTGATCATGACAATCCCCTCCGGTTTATACCCGTGCAGGTGGCCTTGACAGGGTTTTTCATTTTAATGACACTTTGATAATGAATCATAGGCGTGTACGCACTATGTATTTGCCTTACCGTCTTACGTACTAAGACATGGCTTTGACCAGATTTATTAGATTGATGATACGATTTCAATTCTATTATGTTACTGGTGTTATTAAAAGTGTTTCTTATTTTAATAGAAATAGGCAATAATCATTTAATATATTATTATTTTTTTTATAATACTTAAACTAAAGTTAAAAATAATGTAGTATTTTATGAGAAATAAAAAAAAGTATTTTATCTATAGCACAATAGACTTCATCAGCCTGGGATCCAAGTTTAGCCTGGAGAATGTCCAAAGAGAACAAGTTTGATGTAGGAGATGTAATCTCTGCCAAATGGCCAGGAAGTAAGACTTACTACCCAGCCACCATTGTGGGGAAAACAAAATACCGATATTCTGTTGAATTTAAGGATGGAACTAAAAGTACACTTAGCTTAGACAGTGTTCAGGTTTGTTAAAACAAAAATACATTTTTCAGTGACACTGTTTCGTATTTGGATATATATATATATATATGAAGCCTCATTTTTCAAGGTAGATGTAAACTTTAAATTTAACTGCATTGTATTAGGCTGGCATACATATATATAAGACATATTTTATGACAGTATCTTTTTTTTTTTTTTGTCTGGCAATGTTTGTTGTTTTTAGATTTGTTACCAGAATTCTTACTGTTGATATTCATAGTTAATTCTTAAAGAAGGCATGCATGTACTTCCAAATTTTTTTATATTAGTAAACTGTATAGTTTTTACACTACTTATTCATCCAGGCACAAAATAGTCCACCAAAAAGAACCAGTCGCTCTCCAGCCCGTCGACAATCTCCAAAAAAGAGTCCAAAATCTCGGAGTCGTAGCAGAGGTCGTCAGAGTCCCTCCAGATCTCGGTCTCCTTCAAGGTCAAAAAACAAGAAGGAGATAGTGTCGAAGGGAGATACTGAGATTAATCAGATTAACCCTTCTAAAACCCCACCACGCAGTCCAGCCCGAGTACGAAAGATAATGAAAATAGCAGAAGTAAAGGTGGAGCCGATGCCTACTTCAATTCAGTACCTCGATAAAATGAAGGACGAACACGAACCTAGTCCAAGTCGAGATGTTGGTAAAACATCTGAAGTAATTCCTCCCCTTCGAGCGTCAGTTAGAATAGCTGCCTTACAGGCATCCAAGGTGTGTACCTGAAGTGATTTGATTTTGAATACTTTTGTAATAACTTGTTTTTGGTGTATTTACTGACTTCATACTTGCTTGTATATTAGTTGACCATTTATAAGGACTATAAGTGCATTGTTGATAGTTTTTGAAAGGAGAATATTAGTAAAGCTCGGATACTTTTATACTATGAGTTTGGTTGAACTGAATATTGCTTTACCAAATCTTAGTAATTTGTTTTTATTTTAAGCAGTGTGTAATTGAAACTACAACTGGCATGAAAGAAAAACAGTGTCTTTTAGACATGAATATCGGTAAAATATATTGTATGAACAAAAGAATGTAAAAAAATATTTGTGACTTAAAGTACATTGAAGAATCGGTTTAGGGATTGAAATGATAACTATATTTGATAATAGTTATAGTATCATAAAAAGTATTATAGTTTAAACAAGATAAAGTTAAAGCTGTTCTCTAGGTTTGAGATATTTTCTGTAAACTCTTGTTAGTTACTTACTACTTTAGAGCACAAATCTTGTTTCCTCTAGGTTGTAGTTGAAGCCACTGAGATCAGGAGCAATAGTGAATCTAAAACTGCATCAGTCAAACCTGTTGAAGATGATGATGATGATGATGATGACAACAGCACTCTTAAACCATCAAAGAAGTATGAGATGGGAGGTCCAATAGGTGCTTTTCTGATGTCTTTTCTACTTCCTGCTTTATGTGTATTCATTCATTTGGCATGTACCAATGTAAGTGTTATTCTGATAAAATAATATTATTGATTTAAAATTATGTTTGTTTCTGTTGCTAACCCATGTTTACTAGAAATTCTTTTATTGTTATTTGTAGGTCTGTAGGGTTTTAGTTAACATCAAGATACCCATTGTTTACTAGAAATTCTTTTATTGTTATTTGTAGGTCTGTAGGGTTTTAGTTAACATCAAGATACCCATGTTTACTAGAAATTCTTTTATTGTTATTTGTAGGTCTGTAGGGTTTTAGTTAACATCAACAAACCCTTGTTTACTAAAACGTTCTGGGGACTTCCACACATTTACCCTTGCGGTATGATAGCCTGGGATGTTTACCAATGGAAGCATTGGTGTAGGCTTCTCCTCGTATCTTGAATATTTTTTTAAATTAGCTATAATTTTACTAGCTCAAGTCTGAAACCACACATAATGTTTCACATGAAGCTTATCAGTGAACTTTTTCATAGTTCCTGTAACTATTTGTTCTTTTTCACTACAGCATTATATTTGGCTGGAAAGCTTCTAGTTTATGTCAGGAGACATAGCCAGATCCTTTTAGTTCAGCATCATTGCTTCTTTCACAGTTAAATTCTCAAATTCAAGCTCAGTAACTAACACTTTCAAACTTCCTTTGGAATTGGAGAAATATTCTCCATCAAGTTACTGCCCTATCATCGTGAAATAGGTTTTTTTCTGAAGATGCTATATAATCATTCTTATAAATTACTAAGCACAAATGATCAAAACTAAACTAGTGGTGGCATGATTAGACATGTTTACTAAATTCCAGAAAAGCTAATTTATCGTCACTCTGTTTTCTTACCGTTGCAAGTTTTTTTGTAAGAATAACTTTTGTGTGTGATACTTTATCAAACGCTTTCTGAAAGTTCATATGTGCAGTGTCTATCGGGGTGTTGTCACCTAGAAAATCGTAATCTATCAAAGAAGTCTAATCTAAGTGATGAATAGTCATTTCTAAAACAATGCTGAGCATATGCTGTTTCTTAATACTGTATTCTGTCTTTAACTTTGCACATTTGGAAAGATGGTAAATTTACCATTGATATTAGATACATATAGTGTACATGAGTAATATCTGAAGTCTGCAAGTTTGATTCTGTTTAGTTAAGGTAATAAATTATTCCCAAAAGGAAAAAAAATAGCAGCATTTTTGTATACAATATGGTTAGGGTTTATCATTATTTCTAATATTATTAATAGTTTAAGAGGGAATCCCAAGGAAAAACTTACAGTAAAATATAAGTATTCTCATTACTCATACTAAAAATTAGTTTAGTCTTAATATCTCCAAACAAAATACTTTTGATGAATCCAACATACAAAAAAAATAATGACCATTTTACTTCTACTAATTTGTAAAGGTTTGTAATCGTTCACTTTATTCTATTCTAAATAAAACAATGTTTTCTTTCACCTATCAGTACTGTATGGAAACACTTGCAGTCTGATTATCTTTCTTCTCTCTCTAGTCTAGATATTTCTGTTACACATACTTAGATGAATCTGTTTTCTGTTTTTCCTTATCCAGTCCAGTTGTACCATAAAGCAACTTCCTGCCTTTCCGAAGAGGTTGTCGAAGTATGTCAGCAGAGATACAGCTGTGATTTATGTTGGCTGGATTTTATTCCAGGCTATTTTAACAGCATTACCTGTTGGGAAAGTTGTAGAGGGGCTGCCAGTACGGTGGAAGAATGGCTTCTCCAAGCTGAAATATCGGATGAATGGTATTACTGTTATCTTTGTAATTGTTTAGCTCTTTTAATAGACACAGTATATCCAAGCTAAAGCTGATTAGAAATAATTGTTTTTTTTGTAGAATAACATGTAGTCTTTATTAAACATAATAGAATTAATAATAATAAGTTGTATAGAATTGAAACTTAATTTTCTAAACTGCTATGTTGAACCAGTATGATTTTTATAGGTTATGTAACAAGGTATCTTTGATAGTACCAGTGTGTACTAGGTAACCTTGATAGTACCAGTGTATACTAGGTAACTTTGATAGTACCAGTGTATACTAGGTAACTTTGATAGTACCAGTGTATACTAGGTAACTTTGATAGTACCAGTGTATACTAGGTAACTTTGATAGTACCAGTGTATACTAGGTAACTTTGATAGTACCAGTGTATACTAGGTAACTGGATAGTACCAATGTATACTAGGTAAC